CTCCATCTAGATCAGGGGTAGTCAACCTTGGCTCTTTTATGACTCGTGGACTTCAGTTCCCAGAATTCCTGAGCCAGCTGGCTCAGGAATTCTGGGAGTTGAAGTCCACGAGTCATAAAAGAGCCAAGGTTGACTACCCGATTCTAGATTCTGGAACAAACCGGCAAAAAAAAGTAAGAGAATAACCAAACACCGGAGAAGCCCTTTTGATTGAAATTAAATATATTTGTGACAAAGGAGAACAGAGATATGGTCAACTCCACTCTTCTCTACATGAAGGCTTGGTCTGCCCCCCCCCAAGGATCACAGGATGATTTACATACATTTTACATGAACACGTATCGACAGCTTTTACATTCACATGGAGACACTCGCCGAGATGGCCAGATTTCCCCCCCCCCGCCCCCTCTGCGATCTGGAATACGGCTCACCATTTAAATGGGTCCAGTGCTGAGATTTGGATTTATTTTGATTCGAGAATTACGTAGGATGGATACACAGAACAGAGGCGGGAAACACCGAGTCCTTCTAGATATCCTCTAGGATCCCCCTTTCGGTGGCAACATTGGCCGGCCTTCGCGGTGAACTGCCAGTTATTCTTACCCCATTTGCTCGATTTTTCGCATCTCCGGGTGACGAGATGAGGCAACAGCCAGGCGTGGGGACTACAGGAACCATGGTGCTGGGAAAAGGCTCATGAGCCCGGTAGGACACAACCGCCCCACACCTCTATGCTGCCGTGGCTTCCCGTTTGGCAAAATTGAACTGCCCGTCGGGGAACGGAGTCACTTCCACTGAGGTTTTTCCAAGGTTGTAACACAATTTGGTCCAGACGAATGATCGCTTTGCCAGGGTGTGGGGTGAGAAATGAAGAAAGCACAACAGGCAACTCAACTCCAAGCAGGATACTACTTTCCCCATTTGTGGGGAGGGGGTGATATCCAAGATAGGATCTGGCAGAAATACAGGAGGATTTCTGCAGCTCAGGGGCCCTGGGTGATCTCTGAGCTTGGCGGTTTCCTTGCAGACGTTTCGTGACCCAACTAGGGAACATCATTAGTGCTAAAAGGGAAGGGGGGGTTGTGGGGAAGAGGAAGAGGAGGAGGACTGTGGTTCCTTGAAGATCTCTGAGCTTGGTGGTTTCCTTGCAGACCTTTCATGACCCAACTAGTTTACATCATCAGTGTGAAAGGAGTGCGGGGGTTGCTCCCTTTTTATATACAGCGGCTTGCTCTTTCCGTGTTGGCGGCAGCGCTCTTCGTGTTTCGTTAATGGTTGTTTATTGTTGGGATTTTTGATCTGGGGTCAATCCCTGTTTATTGTGTTTTGGTCCGATTCCCTTTCTAGGTTTTCTGTCTCTTTGGAATGGCGTGTAAACGTGGTTGGCCTCTGTGTGTCTGTGGATGGCCGATTTGTCGGAAGGCCAGGCTTCCGGGAACTGTCTAGCGTTCTGCAAAGTTAAATGGCTAAAACAGAGAGCTAAACCCACTTCCCTTCTAGGGCAAGTGGTGATGTTCCCTAGTTGGGTCATGAGACATCTGAAAGGAAACCCCCACGCTCAAAGAGCACCAAAGACCCCACAGTCCTTTCTCCCCTCCGCAACGCCCCCTTCTTTCTAGCCTTGATTATGTTCCCTAGTTCAGAGTTCCCCAACTTTTCCGGGTTCGCATCCTGGAGGGTGGGGAGGGGGGAAAGAGGGGGTGGGTGGGGCTGAGAGCACCTGTGATGCTTGCGTGAGTGCGTGACGCTCATGTCAGTAGGGTTACGCACGCACGCACACCAGCCACTCATGCACCCTGATTGCGGATAGGTCACGGACCGGTACCGGGCCACAGACCTAGTTGAACCATGAGACGTCTGCAAGGAAACCACCAAGCTCAGAGAGCAACAAAGACCCCGCAGTCCTTCCTCCTCCTCCTCCTCTACACAAACCCTCCTTTCTAGCACTGATTACGTTGCCCAGTTGGGTCATGAAACGTCTGCAAGGAAACCACCAAGCTCAGAGAGCACCAAAGGTCCCACAGTCCTCCTCTTCCAGTATGCAAACTCCCCTCCCTTCTAGCACTGACGACATTCCCTAGTTGGGTCGTGAAATGTCTGCAAGGAAACCACCAGGCTCAGAGAGCACCAAGGACCCCACAACCTTCCTCCTCCTCCTCCCTTCTAGCACTGATGACGTTCCCTAGTTGGGTCACGAGACGTCTGCAAAGAAAACCACCAGGCTCAGAGAGCACCCAGGACCTCACAATTCACCCCAGCCTTCCGACGCCTGACAAGATACCCAGATTGGAAAGTCAAAAAGTGAAATCAAGAACACACACACACACACACACACACTCACACCCTTCATCATTTTCAGTGCATTTGGCCAGGTGTGTATATTGGATCCGAAAAACCATGCAGGGATTCACCCCCCCCCCTCTCCCCCAAGAGCAAAAATATGCTGCTGGTTCCAGCTACTTTTTTTTTTTTTGCCTTAATAGCAAAGAACAAACCAGCATAGGAAGAGACAGTTGGCCTGGATGTCATTTTTTTTCTTTCTTTCATTTTTTTCTTACACAAACAGCAAGGGAAGGACTGTATTTGTGTGTTTGAACGTTTTTGGCATTTCACACCCCCCCCCAAAAAATCTTTCTTATTTTACCCAATTGTCTTGAGTTCCTTAGCTTACTTTGTCGGCTGGATTCCATGACAAACTGTGCAGCAAATTGTAGGATGTCGTTAGGAGCGAGACTAAAAGGAAAAAAACAACGAAAATAAAATAAAATAAAATAGAATTTATAGAGTTTCAGGGACCAAGTCAGAAATCAGACATGGCTAGGGTTGAGATAAGTCACTGTAAATCAGAATTATAGGAACCGGGAAATTCGTTTCTGCATCGGTCAACCACAGACGTTTCTGGTTGCGAGTGGTGCAGTTGTGTTAGAGAACCGAGTGGACGAATGGCTGACCCTACTACCACAAGCTGATTTCTGATTTTGTTTTTTCCTTCCAAGTTCAGGATGGACCCTTTAATCCCCAAAAACCTTTGTCTGAATGAGTCACAGCAGAGCTGAGTAAAATACAAGTAGTCCTCGACTTACAACGATTCGCTTAGTGACTGTTCGGAGTTACAATGGCACTTGAAAAAAGGGACTTCTGACCGTTTTTCACACTTACGACCGTGGCAGCCATCCCCCACGGTCACGGGATCAAAACTCAAGACCCTTGGCAACCGGCTCGTATTTATGACAGTCGCAACGTCAAAGGGGAGGGGGAGGAAGCCCAATTCAACTAACAACTGTTTGACTAACTTAACAACTCCAAGCAATTCGCTTAACAAATGCGGCAAGAGAAGTCATAAAATGGGGGGGGGGAATAAATTTATCAGCAGCATTAAAATTCTGGGCTCAGTCACGGTCGTCGTAAGTCGAGGAGTACCTCTTAATGCAGGGGTTCTCAACCTTGGCAACTTATAAGACTTTGTGGACTTCAACTCCCAGAATTCCTCAGCCAGCAAAGCTGTTCCCCAAATTGCACTGAGATTGGGAAACGATGCAGCTGGTTTGGCAAGATGTTACTTGTTTGGGATGCTAGTTTCATCTCGGTTTATCGAACATCCGAGATGAAAGTCAGTTCTGAAGGTGAAGGATGGGAAACCTATCCCGAAGTTTGGCTGTAAACGGGCAAACGGCAAATTAAAGACAATTTTCTCAATGGGACGTTCATTATAACCCAGATGGTCCCTATGCAGGTTCACATGGTTAAGTACTTATGGGTGGTGTAGTCCACCCCAACGGTTGGGGACCACGTTAGAGAAGCCTGCTTGTCCAATCCCAGCCAACCTTCTCCAGAGGTCCTTCGACAGCCTTCTTTTCTCGGTTGAGAAAAACGGTGGAAGGTGCTAGAAATCCATACGCTGATGCCGAACTATGGTATGATGCTGGTCAGGGTGGTGGGGCACCAGACACACGTAAACAAAAGGTATTTTGCTAGTCATTGTAGTGTTTTTCACATTCAGAGCTGAAGGAAGGTCCTTACCAGCTTTGGAAGGAGATGAGGGACAGGACGAAAGGAGGAGGAGGAGGAATTGGGAGGGTGTGGAGAGGGAGGGGGAGGAGGAAGAGAGGGAGAAGGAGGGGGACCAGGGGAGGGAGGGGGAGGAGGAGAGGGAGAGAAGGGGGAGGAGAAGGAAGAATANAGTGGAGGAGGAGGAGGAGACAGAGGGAGATGAGGGGAGAGGGGAGGAGGAGAGGGAGAGTAGGAGAGGGGGGAGGGGAGGAGAGGAAGGGGAGGAGGAGAGGGAGGGGAGGGGGAGGAGAGGGAAAAGCAGAGAGAGAATGAGAGGGAAGAGGAGAGAGAGGAAGGACGAGGAGAGGAAAAGGAAGAGAGGGAGGAGGGAGGTGGAGAGGGACGGAGGAGAAGGAGAGAGAAGGGGGAGGAGGGAGAGGGGAGTAGGAGGAGAGGGAGAGAAGGGGAGGAGAGTAAGGGAGAGGGAGGAGGGAAAGGGAGCAGGGGGAAAGGGAGGGAGAAGAAAGGGAGAGGGCGAGGGCGAGGAGAGGGAGGGTGACTAGAAGGAGAGAGTAAGGGGAGAGGGAATAGTAGTAGTAGAGGAGAGGAGGGGGAGGAGGAAAGGGAGAGGGAGGGGAAGGATGGGAGGGGGGAGGAAAAGATTGAACTGATCACTATTAACAGTGATACTTGTCATGTCCCTCCCCTCCTTTCTAACCCACCACACTCCCTCTCCCACAAAGCCCCAGGCAACTGTCCCCCCCCCAGAGAAGAGTGAGCAGCTTTCCTTCATCCCCTCCCCCCCATTACAAACTCTTTGGATTGACCCAACTCCGTGGGACCCCCCCCCCAGGATGCCTCGTGGACGGAGGCGTTTGTGGGCCTCACCCCAAGCACCCGGAAACCATGCACACCCCCACGGCCGGACCCACCATTCTTCCACAGCTCGTCCCTTCTCTACGGCTTGCATGCAATGCACGGGGGGGGGACGGGGACCCCGGCCTCTGCCCTCAAATGGCCATCAGTGGGACGCAGCCCACCCCCACCCCACCTTCGTGGCACACCATGGGCGCCACGAACGTCCAGCGCTTGGCTTCCGGGTCGTACACTTCGACCGAGCTGAGGTTGGACTGTCCGTCGTAGCCGCCCACGGCATACAGGCAGCCGCGGTTGGCCACCAGAGATAGGCGGCTCCGCCGGGTGTTCATGGGCACCAGGAGGTCCCACTGATCGGCCGCTGAATTGTAGACCTCGGCGACGCTGAGGAAGGCCGAGCCGTCGTAGCCGCCGCAGACGAAGAGCTTGCCGCCGAGGGAGGCGGCCCCGTGCCGGCACCGCTTGTTCGACATGCTGGCCGCGCTGTGCCACGAGGCGGTGTACGGATTGTAGAATTCCACCTGGAAGCAAGGACAAGAGCACAGGTCAGCCAAGGAGAGCCGGACAGAAAGCCGGAGATGACCCAGGGGCCAATAGGAAACGGGGTGGGCCACTTTGAGACCAGACAAGGCCTCAGACGCAGATCGGAACAGAGAAAGACTGAATTATGGACGTCTTCACGCCCTGCCTTCCTTATTAATAAATAATTTGGGATAACGAACATCTCTAATACGCCTTCCGTCTCCTATTTTCCCCGAATAAGAACTCTGTGAGGTGGGTTGGGCTGAGAGAACATGAGTGGAACTAGAACTTCCCATCTCCTGGTGATTGGCCCACAGTCATCCAGCCGGCTTTCAGGCATAAGGTGGGACTAGAACTCACAGCCTCCCAGTGATTGGCCCAAAGTCACCCAGCTGGCTTTCATGCATAAGGTGGGACTACAACTCACCGTCTCCTGGTGATTGGCCCAAAGTCAGCTGGCTTTCATGCCTAAGGCGGGACTAGAACTCACCCTTTCCTGGTGATTGGCCCAAAGTCACCCAGTTGGCTTTCATGCCTAAGGCGGGACTAGAACTCACCCTCTCCTGGTGATTGGCCCAGTCACCCAACGGCTTTCATGCCTAAGGCGGGACTAGAATTCACCCTCTCCTGGTGATTGGCCCAAAATCACCCAGCTGGCTTTCATGCATAAATTGGGACTAGAACTCACAGCCTCTTGGTGATTGGCCCAAAGTCACCCAGTTGGCTTTCATGCCTAAGGCGGGACTAGAACTCACCGTCTCCTGGTGATTGGCCCAACGTCACCCAACGGCTTTCATGCCTAAAACGGGACTAGATCTCCCCATTTACAACTAATCCCTAAATAAATAATAAACAACAGAATAATAAGTTACACTACTTAATAAACACGTTTGCTTTAACTCCTCAGTTGCAGAAGTTTATGAAAACTGGAATCACAATAGCTTCATCCTTTGGAGAAATGCTGGTTTTTAACAGAATAACACAGTTGGAAGGGATCTTGGAGGTCTTCTAGTCCAGCCCCCTATTCAAGCAGGAGACCCTTACAGAATCATAGAATGACAGAGCTCGCAGGGACCTTTGAGGTCATCTAGTTTAGCCCCCTGCTCAATCAGGACACCCTATACCATATACTATACTCTTCCTAAAAACCTCCAATGTTGGAGCACCCACAATTCCTGCAAGCAGTGATTATTGGGGCAGGCCAGAAATAAACCATAGTCCAAAACCTGGACTTACGCTGTTGAAGATTTGCAAGCCATCGTGTCCGCCGGAGACAAAGATGCGGCCTTCGAAGACGGTGACGCCGGCTGCGCTGCGATTGGAGCTCATGGGCGTCACCACCGTCCACCTTCAGAAGGGTCAGCGAAAGGAGACGTCAGGGGGAAGTTGCGTTAGTGGCACACACGTCTCACAAAAGGCATTCGGGAATACTCACTGGTCTGTCTCGGGCGAATAGGCCTCCACCGAGTTCAGAGAAGAGGTGCCGTCGTAGCCCCCACAAACGTAGATCTGTTCGTCTAAGACTACGGTTCCCATCGCACTGAAGTAGGACAGAAAGCAGAGATTTCAGAATGACTGACTTTATCAGCACACTTTAAAGCAGGGTGGCTCAACCTCGGCAAATTTAAGAGGGGTGGGCTTCGACTCCCAGAATCCCCCAGCCAGCCATGCTTTAAGAGGGGTGGGCTTCCACTCCCAGAATCCCCCAGCCGGCATGCTTTAAGAGGTGAGGACTTCAACTCCCAGAATCCCCCAGCCAGCCATGCTTTAAGAGGGGGGGGACTTCCACTCCCAGAATCCCCCAGCCGTCATGATTTAAGAGGGAAGGACTTCGACTCCCAGAATCCCCCAGCCGGCATGCTTTAAGAGGGGAGGGTTTCCACTCCCAGAATCCCCCAGCCAGGCATGCTTTAAGAGGGGAGGGTTTCCACTCCCAGAATCCCCCAGCCAGGATGCTTTAAGAGGCCTGGACTTCAACTCCCAGAATCCCCCAGCCGGCATGCTTTAAGAGGAGTGGACTTACACTCCCAGAATCCCCCAGCCGTCATGATTTAAGAGGGAAGGACTTCGACTCCCAGAATCCCCCAGCTGGCATGCTTCAAGAGGGGAGGACCTCCACTCCCAGAATCCCCCAGCCAGGATGCTTTAAGAGGCCTGGACTTCAACTCCCAGAATCCCCCAGCCGGCATGCTTTAAATGGGGAGGACTTCAACTCCCAGAATCCCCCAGCCAGCCATGCTTTATGAAGGGAGGACTTCCACTCCCAGAATCCCCTAGCTAGCATGCTTCAAGAGGTGAGGACTTCCACTCCCAGAATCCCCCAGCTGTCATGCCACCCCCCCCACGCACCTCCGTTTGCTGTTCATGCTGCCCACCCTGGACCAGGAGTCGGTCTCAGGGTTGTACACTTCCACGGTGCTCAGCCGCCACTGCCCGTCGTATCCTCCAATGGCGTACAAGAGTCCGTTCAGCACGGCCACGCCCACACGGCTGCGGGCCGTCATCATTGGCTGGCACTTCTCCCACTGGTTGGCCACGGGATCGAAGACCTCCACCACGTTCAGGGAGTCTCCTGCATAGAAATTTGCTGCTGGCGTTTTAAAAAGCGATCGGCAAACCTGCCCTTTTACGTAACTATTATTAACTCTCTAGAATAAGAAAGCGTTATCGGCAGTCCTCTACTTACGACAAAATACAGGCCCCAAATTTCCCTTGCTAAGCGAGACAGTTGTTAAGTGGGCTTTGTCTCATTTTACCATAGCTGCTAAGTGAATCCCTGCAGTTGTTAAGGGAGCAGCACAGTTGTTAAGCGAATCCGGCTTCCCCCACTGACTTTGCTTGTCAGAAGGTCGCAAAAGGGGATCACGTGAACCCGGGACACGGCGACCGTCGTAAATACGAATCAGTTGCCTGGCGTCAGAGTTTTGATCACGTGATTCTGGAGATGCTGCAGCGGCTCTGTGAAAAGTGGCCCTGAGTCCCCTTTTCAGGGCTGTTGTAACTTCAAACAGTCACTAAACAAACAGTTGCAATTCGAGGACTATCTGGATTTCAATTCACACAGTCTTCCACTTATAACTAGTCACTTAATGACTGCTCTAGGTTATGTCCTTCCTGAAAAAGGGGGACTACGATCAGTTCCATAGTTGTTATGTGACCACACTTTTGGCACTCAGCACTGGGTGACTTTGGGCCAATCACCAGGAGACTGGGAGTTCTAGTCCCGCCTTAGGAAGGAAAGCAGACTGGGTGACTTTGGGCCAATCACCAGGAGACTGGGAGTTCTAGTCCCGCCTTAGGAATGAAAGCTGACTGGGTGACTTTGGGCCAATCACCAGGAGATGGTGAGTTCTAGTCCCGCCTTAGGAATGCAATCTGGCTGGGTGACTTTGGGCCAATCACCAGGAGACTGGGAGTTCTAGTCCTGTCTTGGCCAGTTTAAGACTTGTGGACTTCAATNATCACCAGGAGACTGGGAGGTCTAGTCCCATTTTAGGGATGAAAGCCGGCTGGGTGACTTTGGGCCAATCACCAGGAGAATGGGAGGTCTAGTCCCGCCTTAGGAATGAAAGCCAGTTGGGTGACTTTGAGCCAATCACCAGGAGACTGGGAGGTCTAGTCCCATTTTAGAAATGAAAGCCGGCTGGGTGACTTTGAGCCAATCACCAGGAGAATGGGAGTTCTAGTCCCATTTTAGAAATGAAAGCCGGCTGGGTGACTTTGAGCCAATCACCAGGAGAATGGGAGTTCTAGTCCCGCCTTAGGCATGAAAGCCGGCTGGGTGACTTTGGGCCAATCACCAGGAGGCTGGGAGTTCTAGTCCCAATTTATACATGAAAGTTCTAGTCCTTGTTTTTATCCAAAACTGATGTTCACTTCCAGGTCTTGAGAAAAACAGAAAAACACCCCATTAAGATGTCCTCAATGATTGCAGCATTCACTTAATGACAGCAGATCATGGTGACTCGCTTAGCGACTGCTGCTGCAAAAAAAAAGTCACTAAACTCAGATCGATCCAGGGAGGAGCTGCTTTAGGAATGTCATGACTAAAGACCTTAACCGGCAGGCTTTGTTAGTGGTCGTTGAGGATTGCCTGTCTGGGGGGGGTGACGGGGGACGGAATTGAAAGTTACCTGCCGAGTTGAGTCCTCCCACGGCGTAGATCAAGTCGGCGATGGACGTGCAAGAACGCGGCTGTGTCTTGAAAGGGAGGAGAGACGGACGGCACTCTGGCATCAGGTGGAAGTCTTTGGCCTCATCCACGAGGTCCCTAAGACAGAATAAGAGATTTGGAAGGGACTTCGGAGGTCATCTAGTCTGACCCCCTGCGCAGGCAGGCAGATCTTTACAGAATCACAGAATTGGAAAGCACCTCGGAGGTCATCTAGTCCAGGCCGCCTGCTCGAGCAGGAGACCCTTACCGAATAACAGAGTTGGAAGGGAACTCGGAGGTCATCTAGTCCAACCCCCTGCTCAGCCAGGAGACCCTATCCTATTCCGGACAAGTGGCTGCCCAGTCTCTTCTTCAAAACCTCCAGTGAGGAAGCAAAGAAGAAAGCTGAGCCAAATAGATGAATAAAATTCTTGTGCGGCCTTCATAAAACCTTAGGTGGAACCCTTGAGATCATCAAGGCCAACCCCTATATACCATGCAGAAATAGGATTAAAACATCCATGAGGATGAAAATGGGTGCCTTCTGATTTAAAATACAAAGATGCAAATTTAGAAAGACCAGCATTTTGTTGTATACGAAATGCTGGTCTTTTAAAATTTGCATTGGCCCACTTCCTGTTCCGGCAAGCAGTGCAATCAGCTGAGAGATTCGGGATGCCGAGCTCTTCAGCTGAGTTTCTTCCTGTTTGGGGACCCTAAATGGGCCAGAAGCCGCCCCGGAGAGGTGGCAATGAAGGAAGGTAGTCCCAAGGTCCTAGGAGAGACGGCGGTCTCTTCGATCGGTCCAAGAGAAGCCACCCAGAAACCAACAGGAGAAAGGCTAGCTAACTCCATTGTCTAGCCCAGTGGTTCTCAACCTTTTTAATGCCGCGACCCCAACCGGTCGTAAGTCGAGGACTAAACCGGTCGTAAGTCGAGGACTAAACCAGTCGTAAGTCGAGGACTAAACCGGTCATAAGTCGAGGACTACCCAACCGGTCGTAAGTCGAGGACTTTCCCTGCCCAGGAGCGCCGCGCATGCGTGGTTCCGCCCCCTGCGCCGGCCGAGGCGTAGCTGGCAAGCGGCAGAGACGGAGCAGGCCGATCACCAGCTGGCCCAGCCCAAGGGAGGTAAGGCACCCACCGGAAAAGGGAAAATAAAATGGCGGACAGCCTTGCTTGGCGACCCCCATGAAATGGTCGATCGACCCCAAATGGGGTCCCGACCCATAGGTTGAGAACCACTGGTCCAGCCCCAGCTGCAAGCAAACGGAAGTCAAAAAGCTCTACTTAAGCTGATTGTAAACAGTGCGTTTGAAGCTGGGTAAGAACTGATTTTCTCTATCCTACTTATTTTCCTGAAAATGAGAACTCCCAAGAAGCAAAAATACCTCCGAGAGTGAAAAAGAGAGGGATTTCCTCCCCCGCTTTTGGCTATTGGAAGCTGCGAATCTAACTCTTTAAGGAGGAAAAAGACTAGAAAGAACTGAAAAATGATCAACGCTGACACCTACTGGTGGATGAGGACTATAAAATCTCTGCCTGTGGCCTTCAAAGTCTTAATAAACACAGCTGCTTAGATAAAGTGATATTTACAGAAACAATGGATATTTTACAAGAGGAAATATATGATACGCTGCAATCCATTCAAAGGACAATGATCTCAAACCACAAAGAAATACAAAATAACTTTGAACGTATAAATCAACTTATCTCCAATTTAAACCCTCAGGAGAACACAGCAGAGATGATTGAATATAAATTTGAGGAAAAAGATTTAAAGATGGACTTTCACAAAATAAAAGAGTATGATTTTAATTCAAGTGGAAGAAAAGACAACTTAACATCACAAAACAAATTTGAAGACAAGAGAAAGGATTCGACGAAGAGACAAAAAGTGACAAAAGAAGTGGAGAGAAAAGGAAGGAAAAAGATTCCTAAGAAGAAGAAGAGGGCAAATGCTCATGACAGAGACATTGATTTACTTTCTACATCTACAGCAACACCTACGATCATATGGGAAAACCTTTTGATCCAGCAAAGTACATTGATTAAGAAAGATTCTGGGCAAAGAAAAAAGATTAAGAAGGAAACCAAGAAAATAGATGATGGGACATATCAGAGAGAATACTTAAAAAAGAAACATGTGTTTGAATATGGTTAAAGAAATAGAAAAAATTTGAAACACACCACTCTAAGAGGGATGAGATGTTTTAGATACTTAAATGTGACTGAATTCAAGAAAAGTGTATATATATATATGCTTTGAATCAGAGTTAAGGGATTGGATGACTAGACCTATTGAATAGAATGTCTAAAGATTAAATATATTTTTAACTATAATTAAAAAGAATAAGAAATTTGAGAAAATAAATACTATTAATCTAGGAGGGATATATATTCTAAGTACTATGTTATTTCTTATGTTCCGTTACTCCTGCTTTCTTCTCTTTTTTATTTTTTATTTCTTTTTCATTCTTCTTCTTTTCCCCTTTCTTTTTACTCTTTTATCCATTACTTAAGAAACGTAAAAATGTGAGATGGCTTATATGGAAAAAATAGAATTAAGTCTGTCAATGTAAATGTAACTAATCGCTGAGAAAACCTTTACCAGTAAGAATATTTAGAATTTGGCGGGAGAAATTATTATTATTATTTTATTATTTATTCAATTTTTATCCCGCCCTTCTCCTTACGGACTCAGGGCGGCTAAATAAACTAAAATAAGGATTGTAACAGGATCGATGATAAGGCAATCCAAATGACTGAAAAGAAAAGAAATGTATTAATACGATGATTATTTTTTAGGAATATTGGAAAAATTATATACTTAATTGTCATTTATTAAAACAATAAGAATTGTATTAATGTTTGCAAAAAAGGATGTTTCGGGGAAAAAGGAATCAACTAAAATTAATATATGGAATACAGACTATAGAAATCAATTGTTAAGGAGTGTTTTTACAAATGTAACCAAGACAGCACACTGTTTACCAATTATTGAGTGACTTATGCTTGTAAAAAAATTAATAAAAAATATAATACAAAAAAAAAATTGCATTGGCCACAACTGAGCCCAAAATTTCTGTGGCTAAGTGAGACAGTTGCCAAGGGAGCTTTGCTACCCATTTTACGACCTTTCTTGCCACCATTGTTAAGTGAATCACTGCAGTTGTGAAGTTAGTCACGTGGTTGTGAAGTGAATCCGGTTTCCCCCGTTGACTTTGCTTGTCAGAAGGTCGCAAAAGGGGATCATGTGACGCCAGGGACGGTGTGACCGTCGTAAGTATGCCAAGCATCCGAATGTAAATCATGTGACCGTGGGGGAACATGAAAAATGGTCACAACTCACTTTTTCACAGGCCACTGTTAGTTCGAATGGTCACTAAATGAATTGTTGCAAGATGAGGACTACCTGTATACAAATATACTGTATACTAAGAAGTAAATATAGCATATAATATTTGCTATCTATACCGTACAACATATACGAAACGCTTCTATCCTCCCATAGTTTGCCTTGCAATAATTTCTTAATGCATCCAGATCGTGTTCAGTTATGCATTTTGCTGGTATTGTTACGGAGGGGATTTTAATACCGATTTTAATAGCAAATTATTTCAATATTTTAACAGCGCAGTAGCGAGTAATAATAAAACCAACGCCACGAAAAACACAGCAGGAGCAGACAGCCCTGAATGCCGAATGCCTTCCGTTTTAAATCAAGGCCCCTGAATTATTTATTTAGCCCACGTCAACCATGGCAAGAATTCCAGCAGAGTGCCACGGGAAATCGTCACCAAAGGAGTCTGAAAGGGAAACTGAGGCACACGATTCCCGTAGCTGACCCTGGGCTAAAAACCCCAGAGCGCTCGAAGCAAACCAAAGGCTCAAGGAATTGTAAAGTGGAAGGAAATTTGTTCACGTTCCCCATCAATTCGGTTTCAGAATTACAGGCACAAACTGCACTCGGAGGCCGGTGGGGCCCGGCTGATGGCGGAGACCTCGAGAGATTGGTAAAAAAATACGGGCAGTCCTCGACTTACGATCACAATTCAGCCCAACATTTGCGTTGCTAAGCGAGACAGTTGTGAAGTGAGATTTGCCCCTCTTTGACAAACTTCCTGGCTATGATTGTGAAGTGAACTAGTGCAGTTGTTAAACTAGGAACCCGGTCATTAAGTAAATCTGGGATCAAGGACTTACCAGTATGGTGTACTGGGAAGAACATTAACAGGGCCACAAGATCCTCCCTCCCTCCCTCATGTTCTTCCTCCCTCCCTCCCTTTCTTCCTCTTCCTTCTTCCCTCTCTTCCTCCATCAATCCCTCCATTTCTTCCTCTGACCCCCTTTCCTTCTTCCCTCCCTTCCCCTTTCCTTCCTTTTTTCTTCCATCCGTCCCTCCCTCCCTCCTTTTCCTTCCTC